ACTCTGAACGCAAGTCATATCGTAGGCTTTAAAACTTTTAAAAAAGGCGGGCCAACTAGGAAGGGAAAGGGACCGTTTCTGTATGTCAGCTGTATTATTTTGTTATGATGCCCCAATAAAAAAGAAGAAACTGCAAAAAGTCACAAAAATAGAAGCTGATTCAATACAGTATCAGCTATTTCAACTTTAAACAACTTTAAACAATGTCTTTAAACACTTATCCTGACTGTAAACACTGTACTGTACTCTTCATACAAACGTTTTCTGGTGTACAGACACATTAGAAATGAACCTGACCTGGTATTTGGTCCTCCAGACATGGCGTGGTTGGCTGTAGTTGCTCCCTTGTGGCCTTGATCACATCGACTCATCTGAGGTGCAGTCATAGGTCTATGAGTTAAAAATCAAACGATAACCAAATAATAAATTATACACGACACCGGGAATATCTAGGTCTCTAGGACAGTATGTGATTACAGTAAAGGCTGTGTTCTGGGACTGACCGTGTCAATGCCTCCACGCTGTAGAGCAGAGCCTGCAGAGAGGTGGCCAGAGCAGCTATGGCAGCGATCTCATCCCTTGCTGCAGACGCCGACTCCAGAGTCTGTATGTTACTCTTCATCTTCTGCAGGTAACACGGAACTAAAGCCTCAAGAACCATCAGCATCTGCAGACTGACAACAGAAACAGAATTTCTACCTTGGAAATAGAATTTTCTCTTTTCAAAAAGAAAGAGTCCATCAAAGTCTGAAATACACTAAACAACTTTTCAGATATGAACAGTCACTTGTCAATTTTGTAAATGTTTACAGAGGAAAACTGGTCATCATACACTTACACTAAATGACTGAGGATCACACTTCCAGACTTTAAAAGTGCCCCAACAAACTCACAGAACCCTAAAGTATCAAACATGTTTGATATCCTTTGACTGGATTGAATCATAATCTGAAGCTAAAAACTAAAATCAGTCATTTTAAATGAAATCACATAATAATCACATAATTAGACATTACAACATTAAAATAAAAAATGTATATTCATTTTGAGATTTGCTAAAGATTACATTTAACAGTGTTTTTAAAATTATTATAAATATTAGTATTTTTTAAAGATGAACTTTAATTCAGTATTAAATAATGTCAGAGAGATAATCTAACTGCAAAAATTGGGTAAATAAGCATGCACACATATCTAATATTGGACTATATACTGTATATACAATATTGATGGGCATCTGATAACTGCTTATAACTGATATGGTACCGATTTATTGTGAATTCCTAAAGAATTTGATAAAAATCTGCAAGGTACAAACCTTCGGTAGGATTCTGGGGCATAAGCAACCACTGTAACACAGAGCTTAATGGCTTCACTGATCGAAAATGCCAGGTCCTCATTACCATAGCAAAAATCTGAAAAAGAAACCCAGAACAATAGCAAAAGTCTGTTCACGTGACACGGAGTAAGAGGGTCAATCTAAGCTATGTATCCTCCAGGAGCTCTGTGAGCCATGTTACCCAGAGAGCGTAGGGGTTTCTCAGCCTTCACCAGCTCCAGAGCATCCAGGGAATCTGCAGTCTCTCCC